ACGGCCGCCTGGTCATTGACCCGGGGCCGGCGCCGCGCCGCCGGGCAGGTGCTGGAGGTTGAGCCTGCAGGACGAGCGGCCCGCGTCGGCTGCCCTCGGCCGACGCCGTGCGGCAGGCGGTCACCGGGCTGCAGCAGTTCGCCTTCACGCGCCACGGTCTGGCTGCTCCTGGCAGCGGTGAGGACGTGCGGCTGGAGCTGTGCGATGCCGATGCGACGAGGCCAGGTTCACGCTTTTCGTCGTCGACCGCTGGCGCAAGAAGACGAAGAAGGCGTTCGCCATCTTCATCGTGCCGCAGGGGCGGTGAGGACCCCAGCCGCCCATTATCGGAAACTCGAAGTGCTTGAAGCTAGAGAATGGTGTCCGGCGGCAGTGCGTCGCCGCCGCCCATTTCTGTTGTTGGGAAGACAATCTGACTGTTGCAGCCGTCTTTTGCGGGTGTAGGGAGACGGGGTTATCACGTGTCGGCCCGGCCATCGCATCCTGTTGCCCTGGAGATGAAGTAGCTGCGTGGCCCATGCTTCTGGTTGCCAAGACTGATTGGCCGTGCATTAGCGCCGGCAGCCGCCGTTTGCCAGGGAGACGGATGTGGCCCGTGCATTAGAGCCGTCAGCTGCCGTTGCCAGGGAGACGGATTGGCCGTGCATTGCCGCCGGCTGGCTGCCGTTGCCAGGGACACGGATTGGCCGTGCATTACGCGACGGCAGCTGCCGTACCAGGGGGCGGCGGCGGCGGACGACGGCCGTGCGTCACCGTCGCTTTCCGCCGTCGCCAGGGAGACGGAGTGGCTGTTCGGCACGCCGGCCGGCCGCCGATCAGCTGGCGGAGGACGGCCTTGGTCATGACCGGCTGGTGGTGGTTCACCTGCCTGACCGGCGCGGCGCTACGGCGCCCTGCAGGAGGGTGCAGGAGCAGCTGTCGGGCACCGTGCTCCAGCTGGCGGCCGGCGCACCTCCGGGACGATGTCCAGGGTCAGAGGCCGGCCGGCTCAGGGGGCCTGGTCGGCGTCGCGCAGGGTATGTGTGTGAGCATGCAGTGACGCGGTCACCACGGCTGCTGCCGCGGTTCTCCGCCCGTTGTGTCAGTTGTGACCCGTGAGTGAGTGACTGGTGCCATTCTGACGATCTGACGTGACAAGTAGCAGGCACCATTTCCAACTCTTTGTGATATGAAAAACGCATTTATCGTTGCTCTCTAACTGTCTGATCGAGCATGGACGAAACCGGCTTCGGCAGCTGTTTTGGTGAAATGCCAGTTTTCCGCCAAAGGTTTTTGGTTCCATTTCGGCTTTGAACTATTTTCCCCGACGAGCTTCGACTATCTCCCCGTGCGATTTGAAACGGCGTCGGCTTCAGCTCTGTGCTTTTTTCAACATCGGGCTCCGCCTTCGTCCTCAGCCTTCTAATTTGAGCACCGACCTCGGCCATATCTCATTTTGAGCTGATGGCTCTACACCGTAATGGTCATTTTCTCTTGTTTGCGACTTACTCGACAAAACAGTCCTGTTCGTCCTGTCAACCTACACGCCATGCACCCTTCGAGCTGCGGCGTATACATGGCCGAAGATCAATCAGCATCACCAATAGTTAAAAAAAAATTAACAAATTGTCAGACCAAGTAATGCCTGACAACGGTCGGAGAGCTGATTGTCTGAAACGATGCACAACCACACATTCGAAATCTTCTATTTGTTATGTCACAAACTGGTCTCAGCCGCCCGCGAAATCCTAATGGTGTATCATGTGATCCCATGCAGCGTATACCAGACCCGAAAATGGGTTGGTT